ATATCGAATCGAGGTCGATGCGATATCGAATCAATAATGTCGTGACGATATCGAATCGTTATCGTCACGATATTATTGATTTGATATCGCATCGACCTTGATTCGATATCGTTAACCATATCGTAACCATATCATAACCATATCGTATCAACATCGAATCGATAATATCTTAACGATATCAAATCGATATCATTAAGATATGAATATCGATATCGAATCGATATCGTTAGAATTTTAAGGGTTTCTGTAAAGTAATTATACAAATTAACCTTTATTTTTTTATTTTTATGCTTATTAATAGGATTTTACCAATTTTTCATAAAAGATCATATTATATATTTCAAAATCTTTTTATTCTTCATTAGAATCTTTTTTTTTTTTTTTTTTTGATAAAGACTTAAAAAAATTAATACAAGTTATTGAATTTAAGATAGATCTATATTATTTAAATTTTTCTTTAATTTCTTTTTTATATTGAATAATTATTGGAAAACTATTATTTTTTTTTGAAATTGTAAGATGACTTAATAAAAAAATTAAAAATTAGCAATTTAAAAAAAATGTTTAATAAATATTTATTTGTTTATTTAAAAGATTCTTATAATTGTTTATTAAATTTATTCATTTATTAGTAATTTAAATATTATTATAAGATTATTCAAAATTCTTAAAAGTTAAAAGAAAATTTGCATTTTTTATAATTGAATATCTTTAGGTAAGAATTAACTTTACATTTATGTTAATACTTCAAGTTTTTTTTTATTTTCAAAAAAATTCAATAATACTTTAATAGTAATCTTAGTCTACTTGACTTTTAGAACTTTATTTTCTAGTACTGCATAAAATACCTTACAAAATATCCAATTTAAAAATTGAAAATAGGGTATTATATTATAGGTTAATTTGTAATGAGTGTACTGTAATTGAATTACTAAATAAATAATATTTATTAGAAAATGATGTTAAATGCTATATTATTTATTAAATTATGTAAAATTTTATACGTTTGTTAGAACATTTATTTAAATTTATTAATCTGATACTTTTAAATTATACATAACTGTATTATTATTTATAAAGATTCTATATTATTATATAATCAAAATAAGTTTATTTTAAGAATATATTTATTAAATTTCATAATAGCATTATGTTAAATTTTATAGTTTTAAATTCTAGTATTTATTTATCAAATTAATATAAAAAATATTATTATATTTAATAAAATATAATTTATGATTTTATAAGTATATAATATCTAGATCATATATAAACTTTATAATTAAAATTGAATTATATTCTGACTTTAAGCTAGAAAATAAATTTTATATGTAGTAAAATATTCAGATCTTTTAATATAGAAATATTCACAAAGGGAATATTTTATATAATATTAGATGATAATAGCTTTTTTATCTTTATCAGTTTTTTTTAATTTTATGAGTTAGTTTCATTTATTTTATTTATAAAGAAATGATAAAAATAAAATCTTTTAAAAATTCATAGTTTTATAACTATTTCATTTTATTAAAGGTTAAAATGTATGGTAATTTATTAAAAAATGAAAAATGCATGATATTCTAAACTTACTTAACAAGTAAAATTAAAAGTTCATATAAAATTTCAATCAAAATTAGTAGTTAATTTCAATCACATTTTTATAAAATCAGATTGACCTCATTAATTTAATTTCAATTCCTATAAAAAGTTGATTTGTGTTTTATTTTCCATGTTTTTTTTGGTAAAAGACTCATTTTTACAGAATTTATAATCTTAAATCACAGAAATTTTCATATCATTTATATGGATTTCGTGTGAAAGGTTTATTTTTACAGAAATTTTATATAAGCTACAGAGAAATAATGAAAATATTCAGATGAAAATATTTTATAGAGATGTTTTGATGAAAATATATATGGTTATTACCTTATATGTTATTAATTTTATTGGTTTATATTTTAAATTTATTAAGAATTGTTAAATAATTCGCCCATTCTTCTGCTTTAAATCCAGCATTCTTATTCCGAATGTTACGTAGTGGTCTTCCAAAATCTAATGGAAAAAATAGTTTTTGTAATTTCTTTAAAATTCATATTTATATGATACATGTATTTGATAATCTTAATATAATTTTTATAAAATTGATTTAAAATTTCTCGTTTTAAGGATGGCTTTGTTTTATAACTAACATCTGACTGCCGATTGCCGATCGGTCAATAAAGAAAAAAACAAATCGCTTCCAAGTATAGCAAAAAAAAAATGCGGATGACTGAATCTTTACAAATATTCTCAGGAAAGTCTAGGTTATTATCGGTTGTCCAGTTACCTAAAGAAAATAATTGTAATACCAGATTAGAACGTATTTTTCCCCTCATATGATTTAAAATAATAACTAAAAAGGGTTATGGCGAGTTTCTTAAATCGTGTCTTCTTTTACTAGAATAAAAAAAGTAAAAAGCGGCGTTGCTACAATATTCTTCCTTATTAAATGTTAGCGCCAAAAAATAGCAGATACCGAAAATATTTCTCTTCCAGAACCTAAAATTACGTGGAAATATAAAAAGTAACATATTGTAGAGTTTTCGAAAAATGGCAATGCTTTAACGATAACTGTACAAACAAATGGACTAGTGCATACTTGGACCTCTCTTAAAAAGTATAAAGAAGGCATTGAAGCCGAATTTAAGAATAGAAAGGATCGAATGTATCAAAAGTGCGAACATTGTCATAGAGAAAACCCAAATAAACACGAGGCAAGACATACGACGTTAGAAAAGAAAAAGGGACCAAGATCGCATGCGAGACATCAAAAGAGCCTGTGTGTAAAGTGTATTTCTGGATCAATATGTGATGCATAGGATATTTTATCAGGTTAATATAATGTCGTTAATTTATTACTTTATTCACAGATTAATCATTACTGGCTAAACTTTTATTTTTATTTTTATTTTTATTTTTTTAGGACAATTAGAGAGATGACACGTTTCTTTTCCGTAATGAGTGAAATCAATTGTTATTTTGGCTAAATAATTTGTAAAACTTCACAAAGATAAATAAAACAGGTGTTCTTTTTTGATACATTGGGAACTTCAAGTTCGTAATTTGGTAAATGATGTATTGATGCTGTATTTGGTCAATGATTTTCTTCCGCAGTGATCATTCATTTTTTGAGACCACCTGGCGCGTGTTTATTTGTCACATATTAACCTGCGCCATCTCATTATCTACAATCAAAATTAACCACTAACATCAAGCCACTTTTTTTGTTACACTCTTTTTACCAACTCTTTCTTGGGACTTTTTAGTAACCTTGAAAAAGCTTTAAAAGCGCAAACATCTTGTTGTTCTTCTTTCCCTAGGTTTTCATAATAGAATAGTATTTTTTTTTTTTTTTGAATTATTTTTTTTCAGATTTACCTTTTATTTTCAAATACAACTTCTATATATATATATACATAATGGGTCTTTCAATCTCTAAACTACTTTCCGGTTTATTTGGAAAGAAGGAGATGCGCATTCTGATGGTTGGTTTGGATGCTGCTGGTAAAACCACCATCTTGTATAAACTTAAACTAGGCGAAATTGTTACAACCATTCCTACTATTGGTGAGCTAATCATTTTCTACAGAGTTTGACAGACGGTCTTTTTTTGGAGAAGAAAAATAATTCATATAAACTTTTTTTTTTGTTTATAGGTTTTAACGTGGAAACTGTAGAATATAAAAACATTTCTTTTACTGTTTGGGACGTAGGTGGTCAAGATAAGATCAGACCATTATGGCGCCATTGTAAGTTCAATATATTAGAGAGTAGTTAATGATAATTAATAATAACAATAATTTATGGAAATTTTTTATTAATTCTTTGAATAATTATGATTTTACTTAAGATTTCCAAAATACTCAGGGAATCATTTTTGTGGTTGATTCAAATGATCGTGAACGTATTTCAGAAGCTAGGGAGGAACTTCAACGTATGTTAAATGAAGACGAATTGCGTGACGCTCTTCTTCTGGTATTTGCCAACAAACAAGATTTGCCAAATGCCATGAATGCTGCGGAAATTACCGATAAACTCGGACTTCATTCTCTTCGACAGCGTCATTGGTACATTCAAGCCACGTGTGCTACGAGTGGGGATGGTCTTTATGAAGGTTTAGAATGGTTGAGCACCAATTTGAAACGAAAAGTTTAAAATATTTTTTATAAATTATAATAATCACCGATCAAAATACTCAAATTTGTTATTATATTCTTAATTCTCATTTTCTTCATTAGCTAGCAATTTTTTTAAATAGTTATTTGGCTTATAAATAGTATCATTCAATAATTTTCAAAGTTAGTGTGTAATTTGAAATACCTATCTTAGGGTGGCATGCGATGTAGCTCAAGTTGCATCTCATTTTCAAAACTTCTCTCCTTAAAATTAATGTTACCGATTACTGCTAAATTAAAAATAGTTATCCCTTTCAATAAATGTTTAGATGGCTTTGCATTTTCATTTGCATTTTTCTAATCTCTGTGTATGTTCAGTAATTCAAAAGGTTCATGCAATCGAAACATTACAAGATAAATAACAGGAAAGAAAAAGAAAAAAAATCTTTATTGTATAATGTTAAAAACGAAGGTCGTTTATTGGAATTCAAACCAGGAACATTAAAGGGATATTAATGACTAGGAAACCCATAGAATTTTTCTCAAGTAGGAGGAATCCCAAAGATTTTGTCATTTCAAGTTAATTTCCATAGAGAAAAACCTTTATTTTACTCTATAAAGATCTCAAGAAATAGGAAAATAAATTTAAATAGTCTTGTCATCAAATGTGCGTTTTACCAATAAAATATTTTTTTTTTAAAAAAAAAAAAATCTTTGATCCAGAAATGGAATAAAGCAGATCCTTTGACAAATATATGTGCCATTTCAACCTCGTCCGTAACGAAACATTATTCAAATATTGTCATAAAAAGTTTATTCTCATCACATGACCGAAAATCTTATCAAGGAAACAAAAAAAATTTAATAGTCTCGTCATCGACCATGCGAATAAATCAATTTATTATAGATTTGTGTGAACCAGTCAATATAGCAGATCTAATTCGGGATAAATTTATAAGAAAAGCGGGATATGTTGATCCAATGTCTGTATATGCGAAAAAGCATTTATTGATTTACTTAGCATTTACTTACAGGAGACTAGATGTTTTACATAAATTGAAATAATATATAATAATTCGTTCGAGTATCTTTGGTAATAATCTATGTTAAGTGAGGAAGAAGAATGGAGATGCTTTTCATGGGAATATTTTTACAATCTATGGCAATAAAGCAAAGATTTCATCTATCTGGACTGTGGCGAGCATTCTAAAGATTCCTTTACTAATTAATTTTAGTCACCTTCTCAACACTCTTACAGACTACTTTATGCTCTCAGATAGTCGGTTTTGAGAAATATGAAGGAAATGACTCTATTTTATCCAATAACGCAAATGCCAAATAAGGTACGATGTGGGTATAAATAGATATTCTTTAACATTGGTTTATTTTGTTATATGAAGAATTCAATTGTGAAAAAAGCTACTCTACAGAAAATATAATTGAAAAGAAAGGAATATTACAAAAAAATCATCTTTGTCGTTATAAAGGAAATTTTTAATGAAAAAGAACAAGAAATTGCAATTCACTTGTTTCTGCAAGTTTTAAAAACAGAAAGTTATTTAGTACGATGAAAAAAACATAAATCAAAACCTAATAATATTTAATGATGTTCTATTTACCAATAAACGAGAATCCTTCAAATAATTTCGTATATCGAGAATGACATTCGCTCAAGGATCATGGGAACAAAAAGCAAAAATATAAAAATTGTTAAAAATCAAAATATTATCGTGACTTTTTAATAAAGTTATCCTCTTTAATAGCTGATCAAATAAGATCAAGTAAAACGGTCATCTTTCGAAACCTTCACTATTTATGTAGTTCATTTTGTGAAGGGAAATTCCGTTCCTCTTTCTTCTCATTTCAACTTTTAGATCGAAATTTTCTCCATATTTACCATATATAAACTTGTTTATCTCCCAACCGATCATTGTATTAAAGGTATAATACTCACATTTTAAAATCCTCTTGCAAATTTCTTCATAGGCTTCCAATTGGAAACTCAAACTTGCCTATATGCTTGTTGGTTAATAACAAATTTATAAATAATAACAAAAAAAGAAAAAAATAGGTGAAAAATTTGAATAAATTGATGATCACATTTATTTATATTTGTTGGAATGATTTTCATAAAATGTTTGACGCGTTAATTTAGAATAATAATAATAATAAATAATAAGTATGAACAAAAATAACGAAAATTCGTTTCCTGTTGAAGGTTTAGCAGCTTCTGACATGTATTTAAAAAGAACCTTTATGTGTTTAATTTGATATTAAAGTATACCTTTATTTATCAAGATTTCTCATTTTTAGTTCCTTTGAACAATTATTATCAAAAACTGCTGAAGAAAAAGCAAATGTTGAAATAAACCGCGTCAAAATCTCTTATAATGATATGCCAGAATATCGCGATAAGTTAAATATTAAAAAAAATTCATCTCGTAAACAATATGCAAGTATTTATTTCATAAGATATGAAGAATTAAGTCCTATTGTATTAAACTCTGCTAAAGCTAAATGGAATACCGGAGGTATTATTATAAACTATTGGGTTTAAAGGTTGTTTAAATTCATATTAATAGATATATTTTTTATTTTATTTTATAGTTTCACATGTTGATAAAATATTGGAGGTTAAACCCGATAAACTTTGTTATATCGTTGGAACCATTTATATGGAAATGCAATATAAGCCTAATATTCTTGCTGAAGTTTCCAGAGACGTAAGTAAATCTCGTTTTTGGATCAATTTTTTTTTTTTTTTTTTTTTTTTGAGATATAAACACATTTTATCCTCCTTAGGATTGGGAACCTATTCCACCCCCAAGAGAAAAATATTATAGCGATACAGATGAAATCTGGCTAGAAGATGATTCGGGTAGAATAAAACTTGTAGGTGATATATTAAAAAAAGAAGTGATAGTTTCAGGAATTATTATGGCGGCTTTAGGGAAAGAAAATTCCCAAGGAGATTTCGAAATATTAGATATTTGTTATGCTGGGCTTCCTGAACAAATTAATCCAACAGTACGGATGGATGCAGGTTTGTCTTATTCTTTCTTTCTTTCTTTCTTTTTAAAGAAACTAAAATAAGATCTTTAACTAGATGATGATGACAAATATGTGGCTTTGATAAGCGGTATGAATTTGGATACAAATGGTGCTTTGGAAACAAGATTACAGCTGATGTTGGAATATCTAACTGGTGAACTTGGAGGTTTTCCGGTTAGTTTCAAAATTAGTTCACAAATAAAAAGAAAAAATGTTCAAGAATTTTTTTAAAAATCTTTTATAGGAACAACAAAATTTATCTTCGAAAATATCACGAATAATAATTGCCGGTAACAGTCTTGCTGAAGTTAAAGTTGTCCCTGATGATAAAAAACAGGTAAATCTCATAATCATTATCATCTATTATTGAAAAAGATGGAATTAATTCTGTTTCTTTTATAGAAAAAATATGGATATGATAATTCATCATACGATGCAGAACCACGTATTCAATTAGATAATTTTCTTGAAAATTTATGTTCATTACTACCTACTCATATGATGCCTGGAAATCATGATCCTGCTGATTTTACATTACCTCAACAACCAATTCATCCTAATTTACTTCCTAAAGTTGGAAGAAATCCAAATTTTCATGGCGTTACGAATCCTTATTGGTGTGAATTAGATGGTGTCGTGTAAGTGGATTTTTTTTTTTTTTAAAAAAAAAAGACATTCTTTTACCGATAGAATGCTTATTTTATAAATAGATTTCTTGGAACTTCTGGCCAAACAATTGATGATATATATAAATATATAGAAAGTGAAGATAGACTTGCTATTGCAGAGCGTACATTATATTGGAGGCATATTGCTCCCTCAGCTCCCGACACTCTTTGTAAGTCTTTTTTTAAAAAATTTACTAATGAAATTCCTTTTCCTTAGTAAACAACTAATTAAATAAAATATTTAGGGTGCTATCCTTTTGAACGTTATGATCCTTTTATTATTAATCAAATGCCTCATGTATATTTTATTGGTAATCAGAAAGAATTTGCTACAAGATTAATAGAAGGTAGTATAAATATAATTTATAATATATATATTTATACTTTTAATCTTTTAATTGTTAACTGAATTCATTTTTATATAATTAATTGTAGGGCCTAATCAACAACGTACGCGAATTATTTTATTACCATCATTTTCAGAAAGCGGAATCGTGGTACTTTTAAATTTAAAGAACCTAAAATGTCATACTACATGCTTCAAGTAAATAGTAGTAGTTCACCATGTTTTAAATAGTCCTTCAGAATTAACAAGATAAAATGAAAGAAAGAAAAATAAAAAATCTATTCACTAAAATAATAGCTTCAAAAAAAAAAAAAAAAAAAAAAAGGAAATATTTTACCCGTTTGATCATGAATTGGGTGAAATAAGTAATAAAGGATTATGGAAGAATTTGTTGATTCTGCTCGAGAACTGCAATAAAATTAGATTGATTAGAGATTTTAATTTAAAAAATCACAAAATCAATTATCGTTATAAAAAATTAATATAATTATTACAAGAAAATTGCTATATTTTATAACATTAGTTTTTCTTAGAATCAATATAACTGACATCTATAATGAAAAAAAAAGATACGATAATATACAAATTAATTTAATGTATATAAAAAATCATTTCTTTATAACTAAAAATTTTATATAAAAATAATAAAAGCATTACATTAATAAGCATTAATAAATACCATGTTATCAGAATTTTTTCCATTAACTCCTAAAATATAATGTTCTGTACTAACGTTTCGGATAAGTTAATGTTATTCAATTAGAAATATAATATAATTATAATTAAAATAATTATTTTAAGTTAATTTATTAAATTTAAAAAAAAAAAAAATCATTAAATTTAATGATTTATTTTTAAGCTTTTAAATAAAGATTAAATATATTAATATTATTATCTGAAAAATACTATATTATCTTTCAAATAAGAGATTAAGTTTATTATAATATAAAATTGTAAATAAAATGATAATATTTTTTTAAATACTATTATTATTGTTATCAAAGATGTTAAATTAATAAATCTTTAAATTTACAAATGCATTATATTTATTATCTCATTATTATATAATAATAATTAAATTATTTTATTATATATCTATTACTAAACCTGTCTCTTTAAAACCATTTTTAGAAAATTTAAATTTCGAGATATTTGAAATTAAACTATTCATTTATAATAAATATCTTTACTATACTTCTAATAGGATTTCTTAAACACAATTAAATTTAATTAAGTTTTAGATTTAAAAAAAAAATCATTTTAAAGATTTCAAAAAAAGTTTTTAATTTTTAATTTATATGTTAAAATAGGTTTTAAATAGCATATTATTATTGATAATCAATAATTAAATTAGTAATATGATAAGTTTTAAATATTGATAAACTGTTTAATAATTAGTATACTATTAGTTCTTTATTAAAAATTAATTGATTCTTATTAAATTAGATAAATTATTTTTAGCATAATACAAGAAATTTTAAAAATTAAAATACTAATAGTGACTGAAAATATATTGAAACTGATTTTGAAAATATTGTTATAATTAGTTCTTTAGAGTCATTTAAAAGTTAAAGTGTAAGAAGATAAGCAGAAAGTATATCATAAAATCTCAAATTTAAGCATCTCCTTTTTGCAATCACATGATGGATAAAATTAGTAAGAGTGTTTAATTTTGATTTTATACTAGAAAATTTTTTTATTTTTAAATTTTTTTTTTTTATGGGAGTTGAGGGAAATATATTTTTTAATAAATTTTTTTTTATCACTTCATCTATCCTAATCCCACAAAAAAAATGACAATATTTATATTTTACAATTGGTAATTATAAATAATCATTTTTTTTTGATTAGTTTTTTTTGATTTTATTTTATTTTTATTTATTTTGGTTTTTTTTATTGCAGGCTTATTTAACTTATTCTAAATATTCATTAATAACAGCTTCAGCTTGGGCTTTAGTTAGAATAACTTTTTTTCTTTTTAAAATTTTTTCGCCAAGAAGAATACTTTTTTATATTTTATTATTTTTTTTTAATTTTTTTTAATTTTTTAATTTTTTAAAAAAAACGAATAAAAAAAAAACTTTTTAACAAACTTGGATGAATGGACTTAATACTGATATTTAAACTTTAGAACTGAATTCAATAAGTTTATCCTTGATTTTTTTTATCCTCAATATTTAATTTTTTTATCTTCGATTTGTTGAATAACATTTCTTTTCTTTTTATAAGATATTCACTTAATTTCACAATATCATCATGGGCTTTCTTTTGCCTCTTAGCATCCTTAATATTGATGTTCGTGTGAATTTTTAGACTTCTTGAAACCTAAACGACTATTAAAGATGAGTAATAGATAACAAACTAGTGTATTTTTTTAAATTTAACATATTAGTAATAAGAATATTTTTATCATTTAATTTTCTACTTTTAGGACTGACATGAATTTTTTAATAATATGCGAAAAAAAATTTATGTAAGAAAATTTTTTATTTTGAATCAAATTATTAATTGCTAATAATTTCAATATCATTATCTAATTCTTCTAAATTTCTTTTTCATATTCTTCAATCAATCTATCAATTTCTTCATATACTATATTGTCTTCTAATCTATCCAACAAATTAGAAATAGAACATTTTTTGAATGAATAAAAGATAATTTGATTTGAAATAGCATCTTAAGATCTTTTGACCCATTCATATACATCGCTAATCTTTGCCTTTTTTAAATTACCTGCTGCAGTTATACCTAAACCACCTTTGCTCATCTATTAATAATATTCTTTTTGTAAATTATCTTTAAAAGGTTTATTAATTGATACATCTAATGGTTAACATATACTAGTTAATTCTGCAGAAATAACAGCTAACCGAAAATTATGTTGCTTAAATTTAGTTTTAACATTTTTTTCCAAATGACTGTGAAAAGAATCATAAACTATCATAGCAGATTCTTTTGATAAATTTTCAGACATTTGATTTCTAAAAAAAAATCTATGTAATTTTTCATTAAATCTGAAGTCATCTATCTATTATCTTGGAACTAACAAATAACATCTTTTGGAATAACTTCACCTTAAGGAAGTTGTTTACCCTTAAAAATACAAATTGAAGAATATTTTATACCATCTAATAATTATAGTAAATTTATTATATTAGTTTTGAATTAATAAATATAAAAATAGAAAAATAAAATTATTAATACCTACTGAACAGGTTAAAACTACGGTAAAATAATTTTTATCATTTTCAATAGTGAATATGTATTGTTTTATCTCCTTTATTATTAACTGTCATATTTCCTGCTATATCAAACTACACTGGGGTTTTATCCATATTAAAAATACTATTCAAATTATTCAAATCGAAATTATATTATGTTCTCAATCTTATAACAAATCGTCTAAATTTATTCTAAATCTTCAGGTAATTTTTACGAAATTTTAATCCTTTTTCTTAATGATAATTCATATTTCTTCATAAAATAATTAATTCAAGAAAGATTTCCTTGAAATTCATACTCTTCTGCTGGATATAATGTTTGTATTGCAGGTTCTTTGAGAAATTTAAACATTTGTAATCTTACTGAAATATAATTAATAGCAAGCCCTTTTTTTTTGTTCAATTATCCAACTATATAAAAGATTTTCTGCTTCAGAATAAAAGGCTTTTCTTTCTGAAGCTCCAACACATTTCTTTTTTTTGTTTTCTTCTTTCCATTTATTACTTTGCTTTATCCATCTTCCTACCATTAGAGCATTTAAATTAAAATGTTTTGCTGTAGTATTTCTTTCATGTTTTTGAGCATATTTAACTACTGTTAATTTTTCTTCAAGTGAATATGATGTATATTGTCTTACACCTACTTTTTTATTTGTTTTTTTTTTAATAAGTAATAAAGAAAAAAAGATTGATTCAGATAATCAATAAATACTATGATTCTAACTTAAAATAGAAAAAGTTATGCAAATTGTCTTTCATTCAGTTTTTGGAATAGAAAAATTTTATTAGGTGCTTAAATTTGAGAGTGTTTAATTTTAGTTTATACAAATATTATAGCAAAAGTGATAGAGGTGCTTAAATTTGAGATTTTACAATAAGTTTTATAAGAAGATTATAGATTGAGTCAAAAAGTAGCAATTGCTTATTTAATATTTCTTAACAAATGGGAGGTGGTAAGTAGAAAAGGGAGAAATCCAAAAATTTTGTTAATTTTTATTATTAAGCTAAATTTGTACACATGACTAAGATCAGCTAAGTAATCTAATAATATAAATTTTGATCAAATTTAGATTTCTTTCTTTTCTACTGATCACCTTTCAAATGAGTATTACCTCTATTAGTACTTTATATCATACAAATATTTTATATTAAACTTAACTTTATAAATTAAAAGACTACATATTTTAAATACTACTGTTCACTATCTTAAGACTCAAAGTATATTTATATAAAAACAAATACATAAAGTATTTGAAAATATATAAGAAATATAAGAAATATAAGAAATATAATAATTATAATAAATATATGTAATATAAGATATATATAATATAAAATTTATATAAATAATATAAGAAATATAATTAATATATACTATAGAAGACATAGAAAACATATATAATATATAAATCATTACAGTTTTACATATCATTTTGATCATCTATATCATTTTCATATAATAATAATATTTTTTTCAAATTCAATACTTGATAAGATAGCAGAATATTTTATTATATGAGACATTCAATTATAAAAACTATTTAGAAAAAATTTGAAAAACTTAAGATTTCAATTGACAAATTTAGGTGATATTAGATTAAATCAGAAGTTTCAAATCTGTAATATTAAAAATATATTATAAATAATAATATTATTTATACTTATTTGAAATAAATATAATATTTTATTACTTATATAGAAGTATTTTCAGTAAAATCATATGGGAGCTTTGCAATAGAAAGGGAGGAAACTCTAAAAAAATTTTTTTTTGAGTTAATGTTAAATCTGGATTTATTTTACTAAAAAAATCATAATTAGCTTAGAAAGTAAAATTTTAATTTTTTTAGAGTTTCCTCCCTTTCTATTGCAAAGCTCCCATATTATAAATCATTGACTTGATTTTACTGGAAATGTTCTCATATGATTGATTTGCCAAATGAATGAATAAAATACTATTTAGATTATATTTAATAATATTAATACATAAACTTAACTTCTAGATTTATATTAGCATTGATAATAAGAAAAGATTAAGTTGTAGAACATTAGTTTTGATTCTGAAAATAGAAATTCTATTATCTTAATTCATAATATACATAATAATTTATGCTTATAAACAGTATAAATAGTATTTGACATTTATCTAATTAGAATATAAACTTGTATATGTCTAATTAGACATTATATATGTCCAAATCCAATACTACTTATAAAGTATAAGTTATTAGTTCAGAAATATTAAATAATATTTAACTATAAATCTGATTAATCAAAATCTTAATATTTACTAAATCTTAATAAATGAAAAACTATTTCTAATTACTTTTGGTAACATAAATTAAATAAATTTTATTTGATTAAAATCAAAATTTTATTTATATATTGAAATTTATTTAATTTATTTTTATATTTTTATCAAATTCTTTAATATCAAAAATTTAGCATAATATCATTATTTTATTAAATCCTTTGTTGATTTCTTATGTATCAAAAGTTTTGATTATAACTAATATAATTAAAATAATAATTGTTATATTAAAATAATATAATCATTATATTTGAGATGATTATCATTCTATAAAAATAATAAAATTTATTTTATTAGAATGATAAATTTTTTTTAGAATAAAGATTGTTTCTTAAAACAATAAAACTTATTTCTAAGAAATGATAAATATTTCATTATAATGATAAATCATTCTAATAGAATAATAAAAATTATTTGATTAAAATGATAATTATTCTATAATCGAATTAACTTATCACAAACATATTTAAAGTAATTATATATATAAAAAATAAATGAAAAGCATCATATTGCATCAAAATTCAAATTTACTGATTTAACAAGTAAAAATGTATAAATTGATTTCTAATAAAATTTTTTACATTGTCATTACAATTATATAATAAATATTACATTAATGGATAATAAATTAAATTATCGCTATGGGTAAATGAGATACAAAAAAATATTATTTAAATAATTATATTATATAAACAATATTAAACATTCCTATAATAATAAAATACAATCATTTTCAGAATAACCTATTTCAGATAATGTTTGCTCAACAACAATCATCATTCCCGGTGGACCACACACTATAATTTTAAAATTTGACTGATTCGTTATAGCAAAATTCTTGTTAGAAGTCGGAGAACCTCGAGTTATCTCATAATCGTCTTCATGATCTTCTTGTCTATATAATGGATGATATGAAGTGGGTGATATACTCTGTGTTGTATGTGATAGTAAATGCAAACTACTTGGATCTAGAGGAGCAGGTTTGCGTGATTTTTTTGAAATTAGTGGAATATCAATTCTTGACGTTGACTTTTCCATGGACGTTGGTTCTTCCGTCATTGTTTGATGAGGATATGGTTGATATGAAAAGTACTCTTGATCGTTAGGCGCTGTAAGATGATCACCACGTTTTAACGTTGGTGAAAACGATGGCTTGGCAGGTATTGGTGGAGGTTCGTCAGATATTATCGTTTGTAATTTAGGTAAATTATATCCATGTCCACGTAATGTATGACTCTTGCGTATATCTCCAAATTGTGGTACAGGTGACGTAGGTGTAGTTGGTGTTGTGGTTTTGACTTCGCTCAACCATCTTTGTATTATTCCCGGATTAATTTGTCCATGTAAACCCGACCATTCTTCAGGTGGATTCGAAAGAACGTAACTGATTGTAAGCATTCCCCTACTTGATAATGAATATTCTTCTAATCTTATACCATCAATTACATCTTCGATAGTTCTATTACCAAATAATAAATGCATATGAATCCTTTTCTGTTTTTGTCCAGGTTCTTTATTACTTTTAATATGAGCAAGGTGATATCTAATTAACTACAATAAAAATATAACCAATTATTAGCCCCTTTTTTAAAAAAAAAAAAGAAGTGTACATATAAAAATTAATATATCGCACACCTGCAACATTGGAGTTATACCGGTTCCTCCACAAATCATAAATAATTCGTCCCAACATCTATCAAAACTATTTGGATTAAGTAAAGAACTTTTTGATGGTGATACGAATTTCGTTTTATAAGTTGGGGAAGTAGGCATGAGAATACTAGATCTTCTCATTGATGTATTTATTGTTTCTCCTTGGTATAAACTTGAGAGTCCATTTCTATCTGAAACGTCAAAGGGTCCACGAACTTGAATTTCAAACCC